CCACCCCAAACACAAACAGATATCCGCTCCCACCTGGGTTAAGTAAGAAAAATTCATGAACAGCGCATTTCCCAAGGACACAAGCTCATGCCCTTGACAAGTTTCAAACCCACAATTTTTCCCTTGCAAGCCTAGCAGCCTACCCACTAGACCACCGTGGCCACAAACTATCATCCTCCCATGAGGTAACTGACCTCCTTGTAGTCCACGGCAGAGATGATGCTGCCTGCAGCTTTGATGAAGTCCAGGGTCAACAACAGACAGCCGGGGAGACACAGGGAGAAAAATTTGGGACCGCAGTCCCGGACTAGAACGTTCACAATATCCTGAAAAACAAAACAAAACAAAATGAAGGAAAACTTTCTAAAGATTAAACCTACTCCAACAGATTTGTTATCCCACCATGGATGGCTCCAGCTTCTCAGCTGCAAATTCAACATAATACTTTTTGTTTGGTGCTATATTCCTTTTCCTTTTAATGTTCAAATAAGAGTCGAAACTGAATTTTGGAGAAAATGTGGGCATCATAATATTACTTGTACTAAACATTACTGAAAGTTTTCTTTCTCTTCGTCAAGTCGAAACAAAAGACAAAGTTTGCTGCCATGAGTAAACGACGTCTTTGACGATGATAGCGGCGATAATGTAGGAGGTGAAGATCTTATTTGAATTTCAGTGTTGTGGCTGTTTCAGCATTATGTTGTTGGCAGTGTATGTGACTTATCCAATCAGCAGAGACCAGCCCTGCGTGTGGTGTGTATGTGTGGTGTGTGTGTTATGTGTTGTGTGTGTGGTGTGTTGTGTGAGTTGTGTGTGTGTGTGTGTGCGGTGTGTGTGTGTGTGACTCACCTGGTCGACAGAGACCAGCTCCCGTTTGGGTGGTGTGTGTGTGGTGTGTGTGGTGTGTGGTGTGTGTCATGTGTGACTCACCTGATCAGCAGAGACCAGCCCCGTGTGTGGTGCGATGTGTTGTGTGTGTGTATGTGTGTGGTGTGTATTGTGCGTGTGTTGCTGACGCAGCATGTGTGACTCACCTGATCAGCAGAGACCAGCCCTGTGTGTGTTGTATGTGTGTGGTGTGTGTTGTGTGTGTGGTGTGTGACTCACCTGATCAGCAGAGACCAGCCCTGTGAGTGGTGTGGATGTGTTGTGTGTGTGTATGTGTGTGGTGTGTGTGTAATGTATGACTCACCTGATCGGCAGAGAACAGCCCTGTGAGTGGTGTGGATGTGTTGTGTGTGTGTATGTGTGTGGTGTGTGTGTAATGTATGACTCACCTGATCGGCAGAGACCAGCCCTGTGTGTCTGGTGTTTGTGTGTTGTGTGTGTGTATGTGTTGTGTGTGTGTATGTGTGTGGTGTGTGTTGTGTATGTGGTGTGTGTGGTGTATGTGGTGTGTGACTCACCTGATCAGCAGAGACCAGCCACGTGTGTGTGGTGTGTATGTGTGTGGTGTGTGTGGTGTATGTGGTGTGTGACTCACCTGATCAGCAGAGACCAGCCCTGTGAGTGGTGTGTATGTGTGTGGTGTGTGTTGTGTATGTGGTGTGTGACTCACCTGATCAGCAGAGACCAGCCACGTGTGTGTGGTGTGTATGTGTGTGGTGTGTTTTGTGTATGTGGTGTGTGACTCACCTGATCGGCTGAGACCAGCCCCGTGTGTGTGTGTGTGGTGTGTTTGATGTATGACTCAGCCCCGTGTTGTGTGTTGTGTATGTGTTGTGTGTGTGATGTGTGACTCACCTGATCGGCAGAGACCAGCCCCGTGTTGTGTGTTGTGTTTTGTATGTGGTGTGTGACTCACCTGATCGGCAGAGACAAGCCCTGTGTGTGTGTAGTGTGTGTGTCTGTGTTGTGTGTGGTGCGTGTGTTGCTGACGCAGCGTGTGTGACTCACCTGATCGGCAGAGACCAGCCCCGTGTTGTGTGTTGTATGTGTGTTGTGTGTGTGGTGTGTGACTCACCTGATCAGCAGAGACCAGCCCCGTGTGCAGCACCAGGTAGAAGTGAGAGAGCAGCTGCTGGGAGGGCATGACCTCGTGTCTCCGCAGCATCATCTGACAGATCAGCTGGTAGGCCATCAGCTTGCCGTGCTTGAACTTGTTGCTCAGGGTCAGGCACTGCGGGGAGAGAGGCGTTGACTAAATGAGTGAGTAAATCAGTAAATAAATAAATACATAAATTAATTAATAAACTAATAAACAAATAAGCAAATAGATAAATAAACTAATAAATAAATAAATAAATAAGAGAAAAAGAAAGAAAGAAAGAAAGAGAGAAAGAAATCTTATTCATCATGTGGGAAATTTGGGTAACACTGGCATACAATTTCAGCCTAAGTAAGAGTTTTGCAGCCCTTGAAAAATAATTAGGTCACAGAAGTATCAAAGACAAGAGGTCTTACAAGAGAGTAACAACATACAAAGAAAGGAAGAAGTAAAGAGATGGACAGTATATGTCTTTGTTTTAGTAAGTGCTTTACGGCACTTGCAACACAATAAGGTCATATAAGTACCGAAGACGAGAGGTGTTGCAAGAGAGTAACAAACACAAAAAAGAAAGAGGGGAGATAAAGACGACAGATGTTCAATAGGTAAGAAGGAACAAACCACAGCAGAGCACCCGCCAACCACCCACAGCTTACCTGGAACAGCCAGGAGGAGAAGATATGTAGCGGGGGTATGAGCTCAGGCGGGGGAGGGGAGGACATGTTGTCCTGGGTCACCCCGAGATTGTCGCTCATCTGCATGGGAAAAACACAGCAAGACAATCGTCAAACCTTATGGTTATATTTCTGCGGAACATCTACTACCAATGATAATAATAAACAATATTTCAGTGGCGCTCAACCTTGATAAACACTTTTCCGTCTCATCCCGCCGATCGGCGAGCCGGAAGTAGTTCGTCTCGGGTCTCATCCCGCCGATCGGCGATGTGTACCTTAGTAACAGAGTAGTGACCACAAGTTCATTATAGTAGCTCCCCTTTTGAGACATGCGCACTCCTTATTATTTCTGTTTACTTCCGAGTCCTTTGTGAACAATTTTGCGGGAAACAAAGCGTCGGTTCGTCACTTTCTTGCTCGTTTGTCGAAGTGAAAACACGTCCAACATGAGCGCCCCAACTACGCCGAACAGCGGTGCTGTGTTCTGCCAAGATAGTGACTCTGGAGACTCTATTCCTGACGATGTAAGCGATATTTCGTGGAATAGTGAGCAAGATCGCCCTTCATCATCATCTAGTGTAGATTCTAGATCTGGATTGACAAGCCGAGGCCCTGGTTTGTCTACATCAGCGCCCCACGAGGACGGTCAGGCGACGACGAGTGCTAGGCCTAGATCTAGACTTCGACCTACAGCTACAGTCACTCAACAGGACACAGTTCCCTCTGATTGGCATCTCTACGATGACAGGGATCCATACGTTAGTGACTGGATCCCTAACTTCGAGCACAGGTCAGGCTCTACCGTTGATTTGACCGGCTTCAGTGCCATAAACTTTTTCTTTTTGTTCATCACAACTGATGTAATCGGACTTCTTGTCCAGGAGACTAACGAGTACGCAGCCCACTGCCTTGAACAACTGCCGGAGGGAAATTTTTATAAGAAGAGGTGGACTGAAACAAATGCAGATGAAATGAAGGCGTACATTGGTCTGCAAATCGCCATGGGGTTGAACCCCAAACCAAGTCTCGACGACTACTGGAGTTCGTTCTGGTTGGTGGACGTGAACTTTCGTGAGGTGATGTCACGTCACCGTTTCAAGATGCTGTCAGCGTTTTTCCACTTCAGGTAAATAACTACCTTTGCCACCTTTGGGATTGTGTTGGGAAGCTATAGACTAGATCTAGATCTAGAATCTAGCTTATTTTTATCAAGAACATTCTAGTTATTTTGATCAAAGCGATCAAGCGAATGTTGATCGTGTGGCCTGACAAAAACTTTCTTCTTTTAGTCATGCTGAATGCTGTCCTAAGCCCTTATCACTACAAAATAAATTCTAGATCTAGTATATTTTAGGCTGACCTTTGTGTGAATAGTGTGACTTAGATCTAGATTGATTCTTTCTAATAGTAATCATTATCATAATACTTCGGCCGATATCTGGTAAAATTCAAAATAAATTCTTGCGTGAAGGCAATGGACCCGACAAAGTAGATCTAGTAAAAAGGGTAAATATTTGTAAAAGTCATTACACTGCAGGTTGAAGAAGCAGAGTAGTGGACTATCCCTGAGTTCTAGCAGGGAGAAACACACAGAAGAGATTAGCGTCATACTATCATACTGAATCTAATTCAAATCAAAGTTCTTCAGGTATTTCCAGGTGTGTTATTTTTCCTATATCAACTACTTATCCTATTGTTTCTTTTTTTTTCCCTTTTTTGTCCTAGCGATGTTCGTCAACACATTCCTCGAGGGACAGACGGTTACGACCCTCTTCAGAAGATCAGGAGACTGCTGGAACTCATCATACCCAGATTTTCAGCGTGCGACTACCCCCACAAGAAGCTCAGCATCGACGAAAGTATGGCCCGCTTCAAGGGTAGGTGCCATTTTCGGCAGTACATGCCGGATAAGCCCACGAAGCGGGGTTTCAAGTGCTTCAACCTCTGCGACTCCACTAACTACTACTGTCTAGATCTGGTTGTGTACACCGGCAAGGACCATTTCCCCGTTCCCCAAGGTAAATCGTTTACCCAACATTTAGTTGAGACTCTCATGAGGGACTACATGGACAGTGGGCATGTCCTCTATATGGACAATTTTTATTCGTCGCCATCGCTTTTTTTTAGTCTACAGGAGAGAGGAACAGGAGCTGTGGAAACGGTGATGGAGAACAGGAGGGGGTTTCCTGCCGGTCTCAAGAAAACTGCCCTGCCACTAAAGAAAGGTGACGATCCTGTTTTTCAGAGGTCAGGTGACATGGTCGCGGTGGCCTGGCATGACACCAAGCGTGTCTGTCTGCTCAGCACTGTGCACACCAACAACACTGTTGACAAGAGAATTCGTTCTGCAAAGGAAGCCACAGGATTCAGGAGGGTAGAGAAGCCAGTTCTGGCTGATAACTATAATACTTTCATGGGTGGAGTTGATCATTTTGATCAGCTCCACAAAAATTATTCTTATCCCCACAGGAATTATAAGTGGTACCTGGCCCTGTGGCACTACATCAAAGACGCTTGCTTGGTGAACGCACACATCTTACAACAGAGTGAAAGTTCGGTGAGTGTGAAAGACTTTAGGTGTGCTGTGGTTGACGCTCTCGTGAAGCCGTATATGGCAGTTCGCCGAGGGAAGTCGAGAGCTCAGCAAAATCCAACTGTCGACAGACTCTCCGCAGCAGCATTCGGCCATTTTCCTATCAAGTATGCCGACCCGAAGCATCGCCCAGTATGCAAAGTGTGTGCGTCGATCAAGAAGCGGTCACAGACTCGGCACTACTGCCCACAGTGTAACACTGCTCTATGTGTGGACAGAGAGTGTTTCAAGATCTTTCATACTGCCGCTGACATAAAGCAGGCGCGGCAGCAGCTGGATGTGTAATATTCTCTGTGCTGTGTGTGAATTATTCTCTGGATTATAAATGTCGCAGTGAGTTGGGTTTTTTTTATATTTTGTACATTACTCCAAAGCAGTCACATGTCACATGCATGATCAAGTCACAACAAACACCGCAGTCACCACACATCTAAACTTTTACCATGTCACAACATGACAATATATTCTAATTCCATAATTCTTGCCCTGTGCCCTGATTCAAGGGTATTGTCTCTTTTGATTCCTACTTCCAATTTTCTAATTGTGTGTGTAATGTTATTGACTTTCATTTACTCGTTACTGAGAAAAATGCTCTTTGCTGACACACCCTTTTCCTCTGAAATTGACCTCCGTTCTCGTCACTTTTGGTACCTTTTTACAATGCCTCTCGTCAACTGCTAAATGAGTCTTTTCATAATTTTTTTGTTGTTTATTTTGAAAAAGGATATTCAAATGAACATTTTTGCAAATGATATTGAATGGTTAGTGTATTTGAACATTATATTTTGAGTGTAAAACTAATTTTTTTGCTTTTTTTTGTTGAAAAATAGCTAATTATTATTCAAAATGGCCGCCATGTTCATGAGATAATAATTTTCTTTGCGTCATCTAAAAGTTTGTTCAATTGTCTAAATGTGTGTGTAATTTTATTGACTTTTATTTACTCGTTACTGAAAAAAATGCTCTTTGCTGACACACCCTCTTCCTCTGAAATTGACCTCCGTTTCGGTCACTCTGGTACCTTTTTACAATGCCTCTCGTCAACTGCTAAATGTGTCTTTTCATAATTTTTTCTGGATATTATTGGAAATGGATGGTCAAATCAACATTCTGGTGTATTATGTGTCTTATTTGGTGTGTTTGGGTCCTATGTAGATGGGTCTGAAGGCAATTTTTGGGGTATGTTTTGGTAAACTGCTTATTATCATTTTCAAAATAGCCGCCATTGTTATGTAACAAGATTTTTTTTTTCGCAGCCCGATAGCTTGTTATCTTTTATGACCATCCTGAAAATTTCATGTCGTTACATGCTCTGGTTATAAAGAAATAAACATATTTCTGAGCTACCCTAATTTTCTTGTGATTCACCTCAGTGGTATGTGGAGCCAAGGGTTTTTCACTCTGTTTCCTTGTTATGGTAAAGTGTTAAAAAACACAGGCACTGAGCGTTTTACCAATACAACAGTAACACATAAACAGTACATTGTGTTTTCACAACAAATCTAAATATAGTTCATTAACTCCCAGCAGTTCATGCATTAGGACTTCGTAAATATGAATACAATAGAAATTGATGTGGTTTTTTGCCTATAAAATGTATTTATTTTTACAAATAAAGACTGCGAAAGGTATTTTCATTAATTAAAAATGACTAAATCGACTAAAAATCATAAAATTAGTATTAAAATTGATGTTGTCCGGGGTCACCCCGAGGTTGTCCCTCATCTGCAAAGGAAACACGACAAGACAATCGTCAAACCTTTTGGTTAACTAGTTTTAGTAAGAGTTTTACTGCACTTGCAACACAATAAGGTCATATAAGTCCTGAAGAATAGATTAGGAATGTGTTACAAGAGAGTAACATTACACAAAAAAGGAGGAGGAGAAATAAGGACCATACATGTTTGATAGGAAAGAAAGAGCAAACCACACTAGAGCACCGGCCAACCACCCACAAAACTCTTGGTTCTATTTCTGTGGAACATTTAATGTGTCGGATCATTGCGCGTGTCGTGTGTCTCACGTGGAGTTGTATATATATATATATATATATGTGTCTTGACACACACACAAGACACACAACACACGGATTGACCAGACACACACAAGACACACACGCGACACGCGAACTGACCCGACACAGCGTGTCCATGAGCTCAGCCAGCTCGTCAAAGACGGAGAAGTGTATGTCTGGGTCCTCCATCTTGTTGACGTCGCCCAGACTTCCCAGCATCCTCTGCCACAGAACCACGGCCACGTCCGGCGTCCAGCCCAGCACCTTCCCGCCCGCCATGATGCTCTTCAGCTCATCCAGGGAGTCCACGGACACTTCTAAACCTGGACGTGACATGAAAACACATCTGACTGAAAACCATTGCATAATAAAATAAATTTTAATATCATCAAGTGCCATATGAGACACACACACACACAGACAAGGTGACAGACTGAGACACACACAGACAACGTGACACACTGTGAGACACACACACACAGAAAACTCGACACACCGAGACACACACACACACACACACACACACTGAAACACACACACACACAAACAAAACAACAGACCTCTGTTACTGTTGGCGTCCTCCTGCCCCATGATGTCGATGTGCAGGGAGTCTCTGTCCGATGAGTCACACACAGACAACAGGACACACACACACACACACACACACACACACACACACACACACACACACACACACACACACACACACACACACACACACACACAAGACAACAGACCTCTGTTACTGTTGACATCCTCTAGCCCGTTGATGAGACACACACACAGACAACGCGACACACTGAGACACACACACAGACCTCTGTTACTGTTGGCATCCTCCGGCCCCGTGATGTCGATGTGCAGCGAGTCTCTGTCCGATGAGACACACACAGACAACAGGACACAAACACACACACACACACACACACACACACACACACTAAGACACACACACAGACCTCTGTTACTGTTGGCATCCTCCGGCCCCGTGATGTCGATGTGCAGCGAGTCTCTGTCCGGGGTGGGGCTGTCCTTGTGATTGTCCGTTGAGTTGAGCAGGGGCGGGGACGGGGAGCGGCTGCCAGACTTGGACCGTGCCGAGTGCATGGAGCAGGCCGACGATGTCCTTGACCCTGTGCCTGGCCACAACAAATGTATTGTTTAAGTAAGAGTTTTACAGCACTTGCAACACAATAAGGTCATATTATAAGTGCCGGAGATTAGAAGTGTTAACTGTGAAAACTCTTCAAAATGACCCGAGTTCAAAAACACCCAGTCTGGGATTCGAACCAGAGCCACCTTCTACATAGTCCAACATGATACCAACTAATGATAATAATAATACTAACAACAATAACAATAATAATAAAAATAATAATGATGACGAGGGTGTTGATGATGATAACAATATAAGATTATTTAAATAACATTCGACTGCAATACTTGTCTCATTTTTCCTTCAGAGGAACCCAAACAACATAACAAGTAGCCAGGTGTCCCTACCTCTGGTCATGTCGTGGTCCGATCGGTCAAAAAAAACCACACAAGTAGCCAGGTGTCCCTACCTCTGGTCATGTCGTGGTCCGATCGGTCAAAAAAACCCACACAAGTAGCCAGGTGTCCCTACCTCTGGTCATGTCGTGGTCTGAGCGGTCAAATCCCTCCTCCAGGCTGGACTGTCGTACGACCGAGTGTGGCCCCATCATGCTGCTCAGCTCGGCCGTGCACGTGGTCGTGATCTCTGCCACTTCCACGTCCTCCACCGCTGCGCTAGCACCTGGGGACGCATACACACACGCACAGAGTGTACACGCAGTCACAACATGCCTACATCACACACCTGGACACACACACACATCAGTGGGTGGTTGGCGGGTGCACCGGTGTGGTTTGCTTCTTCTTTCCTATAAATCATCTATCGTCTTTATCTCTCCTCCTCCTTTTTTGTGTTTGTTACTCTCTTGTAACACCTCTAATCTCCGGGGGAAATTTATACTTTTTCATTTATTTATTTTTAATAGTAGAGGGTTTTACGGCGCTCGCAACTGCATAAGGTCATATGAGCGCCAAGGGGTGGGTGTCAACAGAGAAGTCTTTACAGGGAATCAGACTTAGACTGCTCACCTCTCTAGCTTCAGCAGCACAAGGTCTGCTTCGACTATCAAGGCACCCCAAAATAGCCGGTCACAAAGGAGTGACAAACATACAAAAGAAGTAGAGGAAAATGACAATAGTAAGGATCAGGAAAGAAAAAGCAGCAGTTCCCTGTTGTAGATCAGGCACAGTTATGAGCGTGACATGAGTCAGCCCATTTACAATTCTACTATGCTTGAACGAGATATCTCCCCCCTTCGGGAATGGCCTAAAGACACTTCAGTCAGTGGCACTGCCCCGGGGGGGGGGGGGGGGGGGTAAATTTATACTTGGGCTTCAAACAGAAAAAAGGGACCTCCAAAGCAGCGAGAGACGGAAATCTTCCCACTTCATTACATAGTTCGCGATCTTCACCCAGGTTTGATCAAACATTGCATGAAACTCATAAAGGCTGAACAAAGTTGTACATCTGTAAACTAAAAATGACAGTAAGAACATTACACAAAAATTTCACCACACCAAAACAAAATATTTCCAAAACACACATCAACTCATGCCATTCCATCCCCGTGGGCCATGCTAGGGTTGCAAAAACTAGCACGTTCAACGAACCCAAGGCAAAGTATTCAAAAACACACAAGAATGACCACTCAGCTAAGGAGGATTCACTCTTGACAATCACGGAGAACACGCAGAACAAAACTATCAGACCCTAACATGCAATTAAAACGACAGACAAGATTAAAAAAGTAAAACGTTCTTGCAAAAGTCGGTCGCTGACAGTATCCTTGTTTTTAAAAAATCTACAGCGTGAGCAATTTTTGAGCTCGGAGAAATGTGAAAAAATCTCAAGCATAGGGAAAGAAAGACGGAAAAACATGATGAACAAGTCAATGAGTGCACAAACTGTATGTGGCATTGTGCGGGGCACTCTTAAGCGTGATCACCGACCACACAAACCACGCTGTGAGCACGGAGCGCAGACAGAGCTGTGGTTATTTACATTCCTGCAAACATAGTCGGAAAATATCCACACTCTAGAAACACAGCTGCCAACTTTTTTAACCCAACCCCAAAAAAACATACAAACATCCCAGACTCTACCCACGTGGTCGACACTGGCCAAGTAATCTCCCTTCAAAACTTTCACACACACTTTTCAGCATTCAACATACGCAGGCTATTCCAAGCAGACCTGCAGCGCTCAAACCACCTTTCTGATTGATTTTTGGTACTCATTCTCATTATCATTCGCAAATCTATTCTTGACATTTTTTCCCGAGCATCAGCAACTCCAAGAGGAGTGACACTAGATAACAGACGGGCAAAGTCAGACCTTCAAAACCGTACGAACTGTTTTTTTCATTTACTGGTTGACAGCTGTGAATCTGAGAGAGAAATCTCCCACTCAATACATTGACTTGACCATCACACGTGGCCTGTAGAAATACTTTACATGGCACTTGTCTCAAACACATGGATAGACTCACACAGGTGTAGCAATATTTTACATAGCACTTGTCTCAAACACGTGGATAGACTCACACAGGTGTAGCAATACTTTACATAGCATTTGTCTCAACGACGAGGATAAACTCACACAGGTGTAGCAATACTTTACAGGGCACTTGTCTCAACGACGAGGATAAACTCACACAGGTGTAGCAATACTTTACATGGCATGTAATACGTAACGATGTGTAGCTATACGTTACATAGCACTTGTCTCAACGACGAGGATAAACTCACACATGTGTAGCAATACTTTACATAGCACTTTACGTGGCTAGACACTCGTCTCAAACACGTGGATAAACTCACACAGGTGTAGTAATATGTTACATAGCACTTGTGTCAACGACGTGGGAAAAAACTCACACGTGTTGCAATACTTTACATAGCACTTGTTTCAAACACGCGGATCGACTCACACATGCACCGAGCTAGGAGTCGTGGCATTACCTGAGGACCTGACAACACCGCCCGGATCATTTGCTGCGGATTTGCCCAAATCTGAGTCCGTCTCCGTCTGTTCGTCCCCATCGTCCGGGGCACAGGGGCTATTGGAGGCTGCAAGGAGGCATGCATCAAGGGCAACAGTTAGAGGAAAACAAAAACATGCACCAGGGATAGGTCAAAGGTCACAGGGACTCTCAAGGCTGTATCTATGTCTCGGGTCACAGGGACTCTCAAGGCTGTGTCTATGTCTCGGGTCACAGGGACTCTCAAGGCTGTATCTATGTCTCGGGTCACAGGGACTCTCAAGGCTGTATCTATGTCTAGGGTCACAGGGACTCTCAAGGCTGTGTCTATGTCTCGGGTCACAGGGACTCTCAAGGCTGTGTCTATGTCTCGGGTCACAGGGACTCACAAGGCTGTGTCTATGTCTAAGGTCACAGGGACTCTCAAGGCTGTGTCTATGTCTCGGGTCACAGGGACTCTCAAGGCTGTGTCTATGTCTAGGGTCACAGGGACTCTCAAGGCTGTGTCTATGTCTAGGGTCACAGGGACTCTCAAGGCTGTGTCTATGTCTAGGGTCACAGGGACTCTCAAGGCTGTGTCTATGTCTCGGGTCACAGGGACTCTCAAGGCTGTGTCTATGTCTAGGGTCACAGGGACTCTCAAGGCTGTGTCTATGTCTAGGGTCACAGGGACTCTCAAAGCTGTGTCTATGTCTAGGGTCACAGGGACTCTCAAGGCTGTGTCTATGTCTCGGGTCACAGGGACTCTCAAGGCTGTGTCTATGTCTAGGGTCACAGGGACTCTCAAGGCTGTGTCTATGTCTAGGGTCTGGGGGTCTCTCAAGGCTGTGTCTATGTCTCGGGTCTGGGGGTCTCTCAAGGCTGTGTCTATGTCTCGGGTCTGGGGGTCTCTCAAGGCTGTGTCTATGTCTCGGGTCTGGGGGTCTCTCAAGGCTGTGTCTATGTCCAGGGTCTGGGGGACTCTCAAGGCTGTGTCTATGTCTCGGGTCTGGGGGTCGGGCAAACAAAAGGTGAGGCATCCTGGGGAAATCAGGCGCTCAGCAAAATTATGAAATCGAAGGAACTTTCATTTTTCCACATAAAGAGCAAGTCGTATCGATTTTTTTTTTTTGGGGGGGGGGGGGTAAACACCTTTCGCATCCATTTAAAAACACATTTCTGTGCAAATTTTACTGAAAAACATTGATCAAAGACACAAAAAAAGAGTCAGACAAAGAAAATGTACAGTCTGTGAGTAGGACACGTCCCAGCCCCCTCACCCCCCCCAAAATGACTGTAGGGGAAGAAAGAAGAACAAACCTGACGATCTACACAAGTTATCCAAACAAAACATGAGTGCAATCAACACAAAACAAAACAACCTCCCTGCACTATGCTTCGCAGCGGAATTACATAAGAGAATAAAGAAATCAATGAAATTTCAAACAAACGAGTTCTCCCCCCCACCCCCCACCCCCCAAATACCCAAAGCAAGATTCCACAGCACACATAGTAAGACTATCATCAGTCAGTGCTGGGGGGAAAAAAGAATTCCAAGTTTTTGCAACAATAAAAGTGACCAAACAAAACAAGTACAAACTCTGCTCCACGTCTGCACACTCCAGGAGTAAAATACTCATAGGCAAGTGACACCAACAAAAGAAGAAGAAGAAGAAGAAAACACACACACAACAGTCACAGTCGTTAACAACAAGCAGCAATAACCAAAAAAAGAGTAACATTTGGGTGCTTTGAGTTTTAGTTTTAGTAGAGATTTTACGGCGCTCGCAACTGCATAAGGTCATATGAGCGCCAGAAGATTAGAGGTGTTACAAAAGAGTAACAAACATAAAAAAAGAAGGAGGGGGAGATAAGGATGATAGATGTTTGATAGAAATAAAGGAGCCAACCACACCAGAGCACCCGCCAACCACCCACTTGGGTGCTTTGTACACATCAATGTCACACAAATAGAAACAAATTAAAGCCAAAGTTTCCCTCTTTAGAATTACAAAGCAAACCTGCACTCATCACTACATGACATTGGACAGAAGGGCGAGAGCCCAGCTGTTGCTGGATCGATAACAACAACAACAACAGAATTCCAATGCCATTTCACAGCCCGAAGAAAACCAAACCCC